GCAACCAATCAGATGGCGTATCGCACCATCATCTCTGGTCGAGAACAACTCCTGAAAGACGAAGGGTAGGTCGGTAGTTGAACTCAGTGGTACCGAAGGGATTGCCGCGTCGTTACATTATTCCTTCGCAGTTTTAGCTTGAACTAGCGAGCATTTCTTTTGTTTGAAAAAGTGAAACCCTGTTACATTGCTCTAGCTCTTGAAGTACTCATTCAATAATTGCGTACCGTATTATGGGGATATATCCTACCTTTATCGAACGCAGCCACATTTTGACATTTGACGTTGTCAGATGTGTAGAATCAGCTGTTATTTTATGTCACAAAATTGTAGAAAGTGAAGTAAACACTGTAAACAGTGAGACCAGAGGGTGAAACATTTGATAAAAAAGTAAGTATTTTCCAAAAAAAATCATGAAAATAACAACCTCAAAAAATAAAATGTAGAAAAACCTCTATATATCTGAAATACTGTGGCACTTACAAATTTGGTACAATGAAATAATTTGTCACACATAACCTAGACAACCTTTTGATCTATTATTTTTAAAAAAATTAATAGCCCCTTTTTTCTAATTTGCAAAAAGCTAAAAAAGTGTGTTTTTAGGGGTAAAATCGGACAAAATGCCAAGGCAACACTGTCACAAATTGGGTAACCCATACCGACGAAATTATCCAGCAGAAAATATTGAAAGGGCTCTCCTGGCCGTTTTAGATGAGCATTTGTCTTTTGGTCAATCGGCCGAATTTTTTTTTTTTTTTTTACGGATATGCGCACTCGCAAGGAGATGTCCTATCACGCTCGAGAAGCGGCAAATGCGCGGAAATGTCGGTGTATGTTGGTCTTGAAACGGTTCAGGTTGTAACCTGCAGGGAAAACCGTCGCAGGGAGTTTATTCCACAGCGATGCTGTTCTCCAGAGATATGAATTCTGATATAATGAGGTTCTTGGTGCCTCTAGTTTGACAGTAAATTCATGGTTACCGTCTGTTTGACGGGTTCGCCTGGTAGGTGCTACTCTCGGTGGAATCATACGTGCCAACTCTTCAGAGCATTTTCCGTGATAGTACCTGTAGAAGAGAGATAAATCGCCCACAGATCTGCGATGTTCGAGACCATCCAAGTTACGAGTAAGTGCGGGGTCATTGATCAGCTTGATAGCTCGTTTTTGCACGGTGTTCAAAAGCATTAAGGTATGTTTGGGTGCTGCACTCCATATATGTGAGCAGTACTCCATAGTTGGTCGAATCTGGGCTTTGTAGAGTGTCAGCAATTGGCTTGGTGTGTACAGATGTCTTGTACGAAATAGCACCCCCAGCTTTTGGGAGGCCCTTTTAGCAATATCTGCCACGTGACTGTGCCAAGACATGTTGGTCTCTGCAGTAACCCCCAAGATGTTCAACTGACTCTGTAATGTGACAGCACTTCCAGATAGCATGATGTTTGGCTCACCGGTGCTGGTCTTTTTTGAAAACAGAGCTGCTTGGGTTTTCTGCGCGTTGAACTGTACAAGGTTTTTGTTGCCCCAGTCCTCTATTATCTCCAGGTCGTTATTTATCTGCGATATTTGAGTTAGTCTAAGATGATGGAATTCACGTGCGGAAAGACCTGTGGGTGGCATGAGTGAGGACACTACATTGCCATCGTCTGCAAAGCAATAAAGTGGATTTACTGTTTTATCTATGAGGTCATTTATGTAAATCAGGAAAAGAGTTGGCGAAAGGATTGCTCCCTGTGGCACACCAGCATTTATTTGGTAAGAGTTGGAGTTCTGGCCATCCAGTGCAACATAAATGGATCTGTCCTTTAGGTAACTTTCAAACCAAGTGCAAAGTTTCGGCGATAATCCCATTGCTTTGAGCTTGTTGAGCAGATTTTCATGCCAAACTTTGTCGAATGCTTTAGATATATCTAAGGCAATTGTTCTTGTTTCACCCCGCAACTCAATCGCTTTTTGCCATAAGTGAGTGACGTATGTAAGTAAATCGCCAGTTGACCTATATTTTCGAAATCCGTATTGCTTATCGTTGATAATTTTGTACTTTTCCAAGTACTTGGTTAGGTGATTGTTCACAACTCTTTCCATTACTTTTGATATCACCGGAAGTAGAGCAATTGGTCTATAGTTTAACGGATCTGTCTTTTTTCCTTTCTTTGGAATGGGTTGTACTGCGGCAGACTTCCATGATGATAGATATACTCCTTGCCTGTAAGACAAATTGAATAATTTTGCGCAAGTTGGGGTGAGTTCGTTGGCGCAATTTTTGAGTACTATTGCGGGAATGCCATCCGGACCCATTGCTTTGTTTGTATCCAGCTTTTTTAGGGATTTTCGTATTTCTCTGTGACAAAAGGGTACCTCTGGCATACTATGGGAAACCCTTTCAATGAACGGTGGAGTTTTTCCGTTTGGCACTGTTAGGTTGGAGTTGGAGGAAAACATTTGGGCAAGCATATTGGCTTTTTCCTCTGATGTTGTGGCTAAGTGATTATTTTTATTAGTAAGTGGTGGTATGGATGACTTGGTGAAGTTAGATCCAAAAGCTTTTGCAAGAGACCAAAAAGACCTAGAACTACTTGGACAATTCAGCAACCTGTTTTTTATTCTTTGATTGTATGTTTCTTTAGCGGAGTCAATAGTAATTTTGCAACTATTTCTGGCTTCTATAAATTCTTTGTGGTTTTGAGCGGTTTGTTGTCGTTTCCAAAGGTTATATGCTCTGTGTTTTTTCTGTACAGCCGTTTGACACTGGCTGTTGAACCAAGGTTTTGCATTAGCTCTACGTTTAGTTGTATGTGGGATATATGCGTCCATTCCAGATAAGATTACTTGTGTTATTTCATTACAGCAAATAGTGGGATCAGCTGTTTTAAAGCAAACCTCTTGCCATGGAAAATCCAGGTAATACTGTTTTAGGTCATTCCATTTTGCCGATTTATAGTGCCACATTTTACGAGGAAGTGGTTGTAGGCTTGGTGGGATGAGCATTTCGCACTTTGTTATTATAAGTTTATGATCGGACGAACCAAGTGGAGCATCTACTTGAATTGTGTACGAGTCAGGATTGTTGGTTAGGAAGAAGTCTAAAAGCGCTGCAAATTCGCCCCTTTCTGAGATACGGGTAGGTTCATCGACAAGCTGCGTTAGACCACAACTTATGGCAAAAGCTTCTGCTTCTCTGCCTTCGTTATCTGTTTTGTTGTGGTGTTTCAGCCAGGGTATATTGTGGACGTTGAAATCGCCTAAAAAGACAATTTCCGCCTGTGGATAGTTTGACTGTATACTATCACAGCTTTCGGATAATGTCGCGAAAAAGTTTTGGTAATCGGTGGTACTTGGCGGTCGGTAGAGGCAGCAGATAAACTTGGTCGATGACTTTGAGGTGAATTTTAGCCATATGATATCAAGGTTCGCTGGTTCTAGCTTCTCCTCTCGATGACATGAAAGGTCATTTTTAATGTACACACAGATCCCAAAATTATGTCGAAATCGGTGGTGTAGGTCATAGCCGGGATAAAGATAGTTCACAATAGGTGTTGCAGAACTGATTTTAGTTTCAGTGAGAACAAGGATGTCAGGTCTTTGTTCTTCAAGATGTTGGTGAACTGAATTCATATTTGTACTTATTCCTCTTATATTGCTAAAATCAATTCTGAGTTGAGTTTTTGATCTTCTCTTTATATCTTTGCATGAAGGACCCCCAGGATCACCCGACGCCCGGAGATCCGAGTGATCGGGTATTTTACCTCCGGAATATTTTGATCCTGGAGGCGCCATCATGCTATCTGTTACTCATTGTTGGAACCGGACTGCCAGCGCAGTAGCGGAACGTGGTGATACCACTTAGCGCTACTCAATTCTGGCATGGTGGTATCTCACCGGTCGACGCCCAATGAGTAAAAAGCGTCTACCACCTACCAACTGAATTGTATTCTGTTCCAAAGTCTACCCTTTATGACAAATATAGAGGCCTCCATAGCGATAAACTTGGTAGGGCACCGCAGTGTTATCAAATATTGAAGAAAAATTATTAGCTGATGCTTTGTTAACTGCAGCCAACTTTAAAATACCTTTTACTGAGCAAAAGTTAAGGAATTTTGTACAGCAATATTCGAACCGTAAAGGTGTAAGGGTAACTGGATTTAAGGAGAATAAGCCGGGCACAGACTGGGTCAAATATTTTTTAAAACGGAACCCAGAACTATCTAAGCGCAACTGTGAAAACATGAAAAGATGTAGGGCAGATCTGCAGCCAGAAATCATGACTGAATATTTCAATAATTTAAAAGAAACCATACAAAATGTTCCTAGAGAAAATATTATTAACTACGATGAATCAAACTTGTCTGATGATCCAGGGTGTGAAAAAGTCTTTGCTTCAAAAAAATCAAAACATGCTAGCACAGTAATGGATTTTTCAAAATCTTCCACATCGCTAATGTTTGCAGGAGCTGCTGATGGCACCCTTTTGCCTCTATACATTGTATACAAATCCAAGTATTTATACCCCAACTGGATTGAAGGTGGACCAGAGGGTGCAAGGTATAACCGAACATCATCAGGATGGTTTGACGCAGACACATTCGAAGACTGGTTCACATCAATTGCCCTTCCCTATTTAAAAAAAAAGATGGTAAAAAGTGTTGATAGGAGATAACTTGGGTAGCCACATGTCATTCAATGTTATCCAAGCATGTAGAGCAAATAACATAGCGTTTGTCTTTCTTCCAAAAAACAGCACACACCTATGCCAACCACTGGATGTGGCTGTTTTTCATCCACTTAAAGTTGCATGGAGGGCAATATTAACCGAATGGAAAAGTAAAAATAGAGGAGTGGTTCCAAAGCAACAATTTCCTAAATTGCTCGTAGATCTTTTGAGACGTTGTCAAGATAAAATGGCTGACAATATAATAGCAGGATTTAAGGCTACTGGTATATGTCCAATTGATGCATCAGTTGTTTTAAAAAAAGTGGTTGGTCGAAAAGAACCGTTGCAGAATCAAGTAGCATTAGAAACCAGTTTTGCGGATATAATAAAAGACATAACAAATGTCAACCCAACACACACTGTTACGAGGCAAAAGAAGATTAATGTTGAAGCTGGTAAGTCTATTTCCACAGCTGACATCAAGTCAAGCAATAATAATAGCAAAGCAGGACCCTCTAAACCAATTCAACATGAAGAAGAATTTAGTGAATCCGAACAAGTTAGTGACTTCCAAGTTTCAAGTGAAAGTGAAACAGAGCTATCCGATTCTGCAGAAGAGGAAGAAGAACCCGTCTGTGATGTTACCGAAGGCTGTTTTGTAGTTGTAAGTTTCGTTTATAATAAAGGAAAAAAGATAGAAATGTCTAAGTCATTTGTTGCCAAAGTGATGAAAATTAAAAAGACTTGTATTGTTGTTAGTTGTATGAGGTTTTAAAAAGAGAAAAAAAAATGTGTTTGTTTTTCCTCAAGTTGAGGACATACAAACCTTACAAAATGCTCAAATAAAGACTGTTTTACCTACACCAAAAGTAAATAGAGGACTTCATGTTTTCTCGAAAAATATTTTTTGATTTTTTAATTAGCTTCCTAGATAGGAAGCTATGGTGATAGCCCGATTTTGACCATGTCAAAATTTCATTAAATCTTGACGTTTTGGATCATTTTAAGCCTTTTTGGCAAGGTGGCACATTTCCGTCTGTGTGTATGGGTGTATGTATGTGTGTGTGTTGGCATTTTTCTGAGAAAACGTCTCGATGGAATTTGATGAAATTTTGGAAATAGGTATAAGAAGACGTGTAGGGAAAAGTTACGCAGAGATATAGGAGAAAAAATAATTCCTCTCCAAGATATGACGTCATTGATCTTTTTTTTAAATGGGAATGCCATCTTTTTTTTCATTGATTGGTAAGAGCTCATTTTGCTTTATATAAAAAAAAAAAAATAAAAAAAAAATAAAAAAAAATAAAAAAAAAAAATCTCAATAGGTTTCATTGGGACATTTTTGAATCGTGAAAAATTATCCGGAATTTTGAAGCTCTCGTGGTATTATGTGGTATTTATTATCCCCGAAAAATGATATCAAAACCTGAAAAAATGTCAAGATTTATTAAAATGAATTCATGGTTTGAAATGACAATTAATGACAATGACAATCATTAATTAGGTAGTTATTTATCTAGGAAGCGTCATGTCAAAAATTTGACATCTGGTTTTTTTAATGGGCCAATCAATGACCAACTAAGAGTTAAATTGTTTCTGTTCTTTTTTATTATTTTTTGAGGGGCCCGTTTGTTCAGACTGATTAGAATTAAAGGTTTTGTTACTTTTTTATTTTTTATATTTTTGCCAAAATAAATTTTATTTTATTTTTTATAAAATTGTGTTTTATTTTTCATCAAAAAAATAATAAAATAGTAAAACAAAAGTGTTATAACTTTATTTCATGTTTCAATAATTAAAAAAAGGCATTTTATTGCAACTCGTTACATTTTCTTAAGTTTCCCATGTTTAAAAAAATCAAATTATATATTTTTTTAGTTTAAAATTGTTCGATATAGGATATAGTAAAATTCTATATCGAACAAAACCAAAATATATAAGAATTTCTATGCAAAATCACAATAGTCCAATATATCCCCAAAGTACAGGTAATATCGGACAACACAGAAAAAAATAAAAAATAAACTTGCGCTTAAAATTTTGAATTTTTTTTTTTTGGAAAATGTGATTTAGATACAAACGTCCACTATTACAATTTTTTATTATTCAAAAAATGTGAATCGGTTACGCGTAATTAACAAAAGTTTAAAAAAATCGTCCGATATATCCCCATTATACGGTACTTCATTAAAAACTTTATACATGAACACATTGGCTTTATTATTTTCCTTTATACAGTCCACTACAAAAACTGAACGCACGTCAAGTTTAAATAACCTCTGAAACGAGTATCAGGTGATTGGGCATTGATACAGCCTTTACATTTTGTATTATTCTCAATTAGTACCTACTCCCATCATGGAAGGAAGTCATATTTAATGAGAGGAACTGTGTTTGTTGAAAAAGGAGAAGAAAAAATTGTTCGAAAACATTCATTCGAAAAACATTTATTCGGAAATTACTTTGTTAGAAAAATGTTGAATGACTCCGTCCGCCTAGTACGATATATTCCTCGTAAGTTAGCAATTTATTTGGAAAACAAAGCGCGCTTAAGGTAGACAATGCCCTAGGTCCTCGTAAGTTAGCAATTTATTTAGAAAACAAAGCGAGCTTATGGGAGACAATGCCCTAGGTACACATGCCTTCGTCCTCGTCTTCGTTGGGTTAAACTAGTTCCTACCTCGATCAACAAATTATCTTCGTCAGACGCTTCCTCTACATCTGTTGGCTCTATGTCTGTTGGCAAAGCCTCTCTAAGCTTAAGGTCACCGAAATCTTCGATGTTTTGCAACTCTGTTGATGGGTTCAGGCATTCCTGAAAACATGGATTAGGCCTACGACATTGATTTTGTGCCATCTGAAAGGATTTTTAACTTACCAGTCGATAGCATAGGACCTCGATTGAAAAAAAGAAAGGACGATAAAGCGCAAAAATTGCTCAAAGACAGTAATATCATTTGTAATGATCGTGAAAATAGGTAAGAATAGTAATTAATAAAATAACCAAACAAAATTTGTTTTTCAAAAGAAATGGTAACTTAAGAGAACTAGATCGCAATAGGTGGACGGATTAGTTTAGGTAAGTCTGCATTTGATTGAATTTGATATGTCGAGGTTTTGTCAAGATTTCGCCGTTTCAAATGTTGCTCTTTTAATATGACGGTCTTTCGATATGTCGCTCAAAAACTGACCTGATATTCGTGATCAGCGACGAAAAATATAACTTTGTGCAAAAAATTAGCGAAATCATAGGAGATACAACATAAAATCTTCTAGGATGGATATTCCAAATACGAAACGCGAGCGACAAAAATTGACTTCAGATTTTTGACCAGCGACCAAAAATATACCTTCCTACAAAAATTCATCATAAATTTGGAGAGGGTAAGGGATAATAGATAATTACCAAAATCGTTCTTAATTAATTATTTTCTAATAATGGGGGAGCCAAGGTCAAAAATGACGCAAAGATCGCGTATAAAAAGGCATGTCAGCCTTGTTGCCAGTTTTTAGAGGCCGTACAATCGACCCAATTACTAGATATTCAAAATTTACCAGTAATAATAGTACCTGATGCTGATGATCATGAACGAGCCAAGAAATAGATTTCAGTTAACAGGATTTGATATCTATGACAACTACAACAGAAACAGTAATCTGGAAGTGATTTGGCCTCATCAAGTTCTAACACATCGTTTCGCTCAACAGTTTTAAAATAATACTTACCTAAATGAATTTATAAAAACCGACATTTTTGGCCCCAAGCTTTATTAGTAAAAGCTCAAGGAGAAGGTTTGGCTAATGTTGACCGTGTTCCATTGGCTGACTTGCTGGTGAGACCTCTAATGCATAAACTTGGAAAATTATCGAGCAATGATTTCAAGAATTTATCTGATAAAATTACAGAGATTTTTCCTTGAGAAAAAAGTTCAACTTATTATGTGCCTGTCACGCAAAAATATTTCTGCAAGCACCATCTAGAAAAGGCCTGAGGAAAATTAATTGACAAACAAAGAAATGTATTGCATTTGCTATTACTGTTGTCAAATACTACCAAATGAAACAGTACAGGAACAATTATTGCTATCTTTATTGAATAATGGCCATCTTGAAGACTCCATTAGCATCAGAATTGGTATGTTCTTTGCCTTTTTTTGTATAATTACAGAACATACCTATTTTTTCCAGATTTTACTGGAATTTCTACATTTAAAATGTAGAAAATTTACGAATTGAAATAGAAATTATTGGGCCAATGGCGTCAAAGAACTAGCGCTCGATGTAGGAGTTTTGGAAGATGCGCTGTCCGAGTATTGGAATTATTTTTACGAATTATTGTGTGGGAGGCTACTTCAAAAGTACACAGAAGTGGATGGCAATAGGTAAAATTCTATTAATTAGCTATCACCAGAAAAATTAGTTTCCCATGCGATTACCGAAACCAATTATTGAATCTGCCATGATTGGAAACAAAAATATCTGATATAAAAGAAGGACTTTAAACTTTGCTGCTTCACGAGTAGATGCAGCCAATACAAAAATGGCCCTTACTGATTTTTATGCCACAGATACGGAAGAGTTGTGCGAAGTTTTATCAAACTTAGAGTGTAAGCACATAATCAGAGAGAAAATATACATTCTATGATGAGAGATCTAGCACACATTTACGACCGATGTTCATTTTAGACTGCTTTAGAACAGTTCTGAAAAATAAAAAGACAAAACATATAAAGCAGTCTATGAGAAGTACGAAGTTGACAATAAAAGAGTATTAGGATTATTAGTTGACGCTGATATGCACCAAGCAAAAAAAGGTATCTTTGAAAAAAAAGATAAAATCACGCGAATGCAACAAGGTTTCTTTGGGATGATTTTAAAGATTCTCTACAGATGCAGATTTAATGACGTGCAGTCACATTCACATCGAATTCAGCAGTTTGACAGGGATTCGGAGAAGGTCAATTGCTCATAAATATAACAATACCTAATGGTGCATGGATAAAAATAATGTTAAGAAATGTTGGGTACCTACTGATTTTATTTTCAAATTTATAATAATACTTTTTTGTATAATAATTAGTTTATACACAGGGTGATTCATAAATATTGCACGAAAATTCAAGAATTCAAGGTTGAATTCCTTGGATCGCAATATGGAAAAAAAAAAATAAGTTCAACGTTTATGAGGCCATATTCAAAATCGACGACAAAATTTGTGAGTGCAAAACGAAAGTTAGAAACAGGATGCAACCGTATGCAACGGTGCGACGTGTAGGCAAATATTTTAGAGACAAATATTATCCAGACCCGGAATGCATGGACGGAAACTTATTACGACCGTCGACCGATAGGTATCGAGGGACGACGCGGACCGCTGGCTGATGCATTATCACAGTCATACTATAAGGCACGATTTCGCATGCTACCCTTATTTCTTCTTATTGTGTTATCCGATATTCGATCTTGGGGAAAAATGTTTTTTTTGTTAAATAAAAACGTGCCTGAGTTTTCGGCTAAATTTGCGATCAAAAACTCATACGAACTTGAATCCAAAATCAAGTAAATTAAACTTCCTCCTAAAGCCAAATAAATTTAATTTGATGGTACAAATTTACTCCCGAGTGTAACTTGCTTGTAGGGAAACCGTTTCAATTATCACTAACC